TTTTTTTTTTTTTTTGAAAGGTCAAAGCTCATTTTTAAGAAGATGCATCCTTGATGTTTTATTTCTCTTTTTCAACACAACTAGGTCAAATGGCAGCGCATTAGGAGGCAAATGCAGAACTATGATGTATTGAGAAGGTACTATCTGCCTCCAGGGAGAATAACAAAGACAGCTGCCCTCACTGCAATAAATATAAATCTAACGGAGTCAAATCTTCTTAAAATAAATGCAAATAAATACAAATAATGTGTTTTGTAAAAAAAAGTTGGTCAAGTCTCCTGACTTGAATAAAAGCACTATTTAAGTACAGGTCATTTACTATAATGTTTGTAAATATTTACTTCCCGTCATGTGCTCCATCCAATGCAGATCATTGGCTCCACCCACATCTAGTGAAAACTAGTGTGATTGGATGAGTCATAGAACGCAAACACTCATCGGTTAGCTAAAGGAAATCATCAGAAGCAAGCAGGTGTTCTTCAAACTGCAAACGTGAATTTTCTATGCCATGCTACAATGTCGGATTCAGAAAAAGATGTTGAAATGTCTGAAAGGTCGGACACAGATGGAGACCAACAGGACCTCCCTCATCCTTGGCCCTATCTCAAAGAATTTTTAGAAATAGTCCAAAATTGAGCTTTCAGTTCATATAGTGGTATCTGTTTTTTTTAAGGTTACTTTATACCTCTATACTTTAAGTAGTTTTTGCAGCACATACTTTTTCACTTTTACTTGAGTAAAGAGGTCAAGTTGATACTTCAAGTTTTACCAGAATGTTTTTAAACTGCAGTATCTATACTTCTACTTAAGTAAAAAATGTGTGTACTTTTGACACCACTGATTGTATGAGGTTGTGTTCTATCAAACTGCTCCTATAGTCACTCTATTACAGACGGAATAATGTAACGAAAGTAATTTCTCCCTGGGATTATTGAAGTATTTCTGGTTCTTATTCCTGGTTGATGGGACAGGTGTTGTGAATGAAACGGTGCCCAGCTTGAAAGAGCTCCTGTGTGTCGCTGAATGTGTGCATTGATGACTGAAAGACATCTTCTGCCTCCATTTATCTGTTTACAGCAGTGTGTTGAATTCACGTTTATGTATATTTAAAGACATTTCAATTAGTGGAAAAAATAGCAGGGGGGGATATAAAAAAACAAAACAAAAAACAGTCTAATCAGCCAAAACTTTCGCGACCCCCCATGCAGTACCTCCGTGGACCCCCTAGGGGTCGCGGACCCCCTGTTGAAGACCTCCGGTCTTATGACATTGAGATCACCTGACAAAGAGCGTTACGTTTCCAAATATCGCGAGACGCCGAAACGTAACGAAGTGGAGCGAGAACCGAGCACGGAAACTTCCGAACAGACCTACATGCTGTAGCGAACCCCCTCCCCTCCTGGCTGAAGAGTCTTCTCTCAACTAACGGTGAACCGTTGGTGACCGTGACGGTTTTCACCTTTCTGTGCCTCTTAACTTCTGGATGTTTATCCTCTTCGCTCGGATGCAAAGCACGTCCTCCAGCCCGCCGTTTAGGTTTCATTGAGCGGAGTAACCTTCACCAATCACTCCCTGCTTTGGGCCTTTTTTTTTATCTCCAAAACAACTAACTACTTTCCCAACAGCAGTTCCAGTGCAATGGTTTGAGCAGGCATACTAAGTTCTCTCCTTCATGAACAATGTGTGAAAACTGCGCCGAGCTGGTGGAGGTTTTAAATGAATGTAAGTAAAAAAAAAAGTCATTTTGTTTGCATTATGCTGGCTGAACTAGCTGGATGATGTTAGCATTGTTGCCTGCTGAAGCTTGATGGCAGCAAGTTAGCATCCTGGCTAGCTAAATAGATCTATATTTTTCTTCTCTTTGCTTTCCTTACTATTTCTGAATTTTGACCACATCGTTCGTCGTGGTTGTTGCGCTGTTCGGTGGGAATATTCTGTAGCGGCTGACATTGCTTTCTTTCCACGTCAGTCTGAGTCGATTTTCTATGAAAACTGAAGCCTTTCTTCTCTGCAAAAATTGCAGTTAAGTTTAGGGCCTGTCTGTCAAACAGCACCGCAGAAAATCAAACTCTTTCATACACTGAAATCATGTCCTGTGGGACTTTACAGTAAATATGTCGGTGCTGTTGTGCATCGCTGTCAAAGGAGGTTTTAATCTATATAAAACACTGTTAGGAGGTGGATTTGTGAGTTAGCATGCTAAGTTAGCATGCTGAGCTAGCAAGCAGGCTGACTTTGTTTGATGTGTTTGTCAGGTCAGTCTGCTAGCTGTCCACCCATTGTTTTGCGGACGGTCACATCTGTTGTTCAGAACAGGCTTAGAACTACGTAAAATATTTACTTATTAACGGATACTGACACCAAACCGTGAACAACTGCAGCTAATGTTTGTTTTGCCTGTTAAACGTTGTGGAGCTAGCGGGACTAAGCTAGCCAGTACATTTAACGGCTGAAATAAAAGGCAGATGTTTGTCATAAACACTTGAATAATCCTCAGTTAGCGTGAGGTTTTCACAGGCATTTTATTTAGTATAGTTTTTCTTCTCCGTTTCTTCTTCTTTTTTTTTTTAAAGGTTAATTTTGACAGATTATTTCATTCCCATATCTGGTTAAAGGCAGATATTAAGTCAGGAATACATTGTGATCTTTATTTCTGTTTTTTTTTTTTCGGTTTTTCTCCTCCAGGTTGTTGTTTTTTCCCCCCTTTAATTTCCAGAATAGTTTTTAAACCGGTTTAGATGAACTGGTTGACATGATGGGATCTCTGTGCAGGCTATTGTGTCGGCTTGTAGTGATTTAAGCAAATATCCTCATGGACTACAGGCTCCTGTTTACTACATCAACTATTGGGAAACTGATGGGAAATGGTCGTTTCTGCTTGTGTCTGAACTAATGTTGATATAATTGAGTTTAGGTTGCAAAATATTGAATAAAATTAGGATTTTATTGCTGTTTTTTTCCCTCTACTATATACATTTTGATTATACCAAATGTAATTTCTTTTTTCCAGTCGTCACAATATCTCCATTATTCTTTGAAAAAGAGGGGAAAAAAACATCCAAATGACCAGATATAGTATTGGCATGCAGTTTGAGTATTGTCTTTTATTCGAGCAGCCTGTTTCTCTTAGCACTTCACTCTTATAACTTGTGCTAAGTAAATATAACCAGCTGGAT